AGTAACAAAAATATTTGACTTTAGAAATAATACCTCACGTATATTTATAGTGTGCCTTCCCCATGCACAGCTCCAAGCATCTCAAGATTTATGTGATAGAGGAGAAAATCATCCTCACATAATAGATATGAGAACGGTTTTTTTTTTAAGTCAAGTTACAGATCTCTGTAGGATTGTCAACTTGAGGACACTTATCAAGCAGCATCCCACAGCAGTCATCTTACTTAATTTTTGGTTGGTTAAGTGGATTTAATAAATGATTCAAAATATGTCTGAGTGGCTGGAGCTAGAAGCAAAAATGGCTTTCCTGCTGACAATACAGGAGTAAAGATGATGAACATTCCCAAAGCAATAGGTCCTTCCATGCAAGGGAAGCGGATTGTGCGAAGTTTTAAACACGTTGAGCCCAACTGCTGTCTAAGATGTCACTATTCATTCAAAGATGCTAGAAGTTTGAACTCAGAGGGGAAAGCAGAAAAAAGCCTGGGAGATGAAGCCTTGCCTGCACTTTGTAACTTTGGTTTTACGATGAAACAATTAAAATATGGAAGTTGAAATGACCCTAACACCCCCCACCCCCACCCCATGGGAGTCTCAGTTGTCGATTTACAGCCTCTCAGCTCAAAATCCACCCCTCACGGCCCTGCTTGTGATGCTGGAGCTGGATCCTCTGGACATTTCCCCTCTGCCAGGTGGCACAGTGTGGACCTTCATCATGACAGCACTGCAGGAACACAGTGGGAAGAGGGGCCTTGTCTTCCTGGTTCTGGTGCTTTTTCCTTTCTTCTTGTTCCTGCAGCATATAGGACATCCCGTGGCACTCGCCTCAGTGAGTTCAGTGGTATCCTTTCAGGAGGTTACCAGGAAGTGCTCCAGAGCCCCAGCCAGCTTCCTGGAAAGTACAACACCGATGACTTGGCCAGTGCCCCAGCCAGACCCCAGAGGGTGGTTCACGGCTAGTTTTATCAGCACCTTACGGAACTTCTCTGCTACCTAGTGGGCTATAGCCATGCCCTCTTTGGTAAAGCCTGACTCTCAATTTGCAAGAGAGAAGGCCCTCTTTCAAATTTGTTCCTTCCTTGAGTGGTCTGCCTCATTCCTAGGTTGTAGTTACTATTCCTATAATCTTGGGAGTTTCTTAACCCATTATGTTAACTAATCCTCTGTTACTGTTAATAATTCTTTATATTAAACTTTCTTTGTTCGTTATTGTATGATTTCTGTTTCTTGACTAAGGACCTTGATTAATCCACTAATATCCCACAGAAATGTGTGTTTATGTTCACCAAAAGTTATGTACAAGAAATTTCATAGTTGCACTCTTCATAATGCTCAAAATGTCCATCGCCAGGAGAAGAGATAAATTGTGGTACGTTCATACAAGGGAATGTTATCCAGCAATGAGAATAAATGAACTACAAGTACATGCAACAACACATATGAACTGACAAACATATCGTTGAGTGAAAGAAGCAGAAACAAAAGAAAATATTTTGTATGATTCCATTTATGTCAAGTCTAAAACCAGGCAAAACTACACTCTGTTGCTAGAAAGTAAAAAATGGGGTTATTCCTGGAGGGGATTAGTGATTTGAAGGGGGCACAGGGATCTTTTGGGGTGCTGGTAATGTTCTGTTTCCTGGCCAGGGTATTGGTTATATATCACTGTTTATGCAAATTATTGAGCAGTATATATATATTTTTTTTTTTTTTCTTGCGTTATGCGGGCCTCTCACTGTTGTTGCCTCTCCCATTTGCGGAGCACAGGCTCCGGACGCGCAGGCTCAGTGGCCATGGCTCACGGGCCCAGCCGCTCCGCGGCATGTGGGATCTTCCCGAAACGGGGCACGAACCCGCGTCTCCTGCATCGGCAGGCGGACTCTCAAGCACTGCGCCACCAGGGAAGCCCGAGCAGTATATTTTTGATGTGTACATTTTAGAAATGAGTCAAGCTGAAAAAATTATATATTTATTGAATTTATGAGGTGTGAATTATTTGACTCAAATAATGAAGTCAAGCTCACTCATTCATTCATTCAACAAAAAGCGTATGTACATATTATATACCAGTCACTGTATATAATGCTAAGGATCTAGAGATGAATTAGTTATTCTTGGTTTCTGTCCACAAAGGGGCATGGTCTAAAGCGGGAGACCAACATGAACATGTATAACTACAATACAACATGATTCATGGACTGGTTTATGTATGGATGGGGGTGCTAGAGATATAGAGGAGGGAACTGTGAATGGTGCTTTGAAAAACTACACACAGAAAGGTGATGTCTGAGCAGGGACCTTCCCCCTGTACAGTATAGAAGTATCTACTCACTCCTGTGTCCCCCATGGCCATAAAAGGATGAGTAGGAGATGGCCAAAAAGAAAAGGGTTTTCAGAGCAAGCAGAACAGCATGTGCACAGATGCGAATTTTGAAAGCCACTATAAACTCAGAGAACAGAGCATTTAATGTGGCAGGAGTCCAGAGAGCACTGGAAAGAATGGCAGGAGAGGAAATTACAAACGTAAACTGAGGCTTGATGGTGACATGTTTGCATGCCTTCTACAGAGTGTGAATTTCACACAAGGAGCCAAGAAACATTGTATAGCTAGTCTTCAAAGATGCCCCTTCCCCCCCACACAGATGATGCCTTTGCTAGTCCCCTCCCACAATGAATCTGGGTTGGCCAATGGAACCAATAGAATTTGGTGCAAGTGACACTGTGTCAGTGTCACACACTGAGGCCACTACAGCTTTTGACTTGATCTCTTGGAACGTTTGTTCTAGGGGGAGCTAGTCATCTTGTAAGAAGTCTGGCTAACCTGAGTCCACAATATTGTGAGGAAACACAGCCTAAGAGAGGCCATGAGAAGAGAACCATTCATCAGCCCAGTCACGCCTTCGGAAGGCTCCGGCCTTAGCTGGCATCTGACCACAACGGCATCTGAATCTCCAACGGAGAACGGACTAGGTATATATTGAACGTTGTCAACATACAGAACTGTGTAAGAGAGAGAACATCTTTTTGTTCTATACTACATTTATTATTATTATTTTTTGCGGTGCACGGGCCTCTCACTGTTGTGGCCTCTCCTGTTGTGGAGCACAGGCTCCGGACACGCAGGCTCAGCGGCCATGGCCCACGGGCCCAGCCGCTCTGCGGCATGTGGGATCTTCCCGGACCAGGGCATGAACCCACATACCCTGAATCGGCAGGCGGACTCTCAACCACTGCGCCACCAGGGAAGCCCTATACTACATTTTGAATCACCACAATTTGGGGTGGTTTGCTACACAGTACTAGTAATTGGAACAGACACCTTGGAATAGCAGTGTGACATAAAGAGTTTGAGTTTGTTTTTGGAAACAGTATGGTGACAGAATGGAGGATAAGTTGAAGAGGGAAGAGGCTGAAGGCACCAAGATATGTTAGGAGGATAAGTAGACATCGATGTAAACTGAAAGGAGAGGCTGGAATGTAGAGATACTTGTGAGGCAGAATTGACAGAATGTAGAGATAAAAGAAATATGTGATGGGAAGGCAAGGAAGACTGTGAATATCTTTTAGGTTTTTGCCCAAAGAGAACAGCTGGTGGATAATGTCCTTAGTAGAAATAAGGGTCCTATTTGGGAGGGTAGATAATGAACTGTGTATATGCTGTTTTTGAGGGGTTTACAGGATTGGTGAAAATGTCAAATAAGCAGTTGGAAACTTTGATTTAAGGCACACAGGAGATTGGGGCTGTACATACACGTAAGGTCTCAGTTACATATGGTGATGGTTGAAGTTATGGAGATGAGATCACCAATAGAAAGTGTTCAGGGAAACAGAGGAGGGACAAATGATGGAGCTCTGTTAGGAGAACTCAGTGGGCAGAGGAGGAAAAGCCCAAGAAGAAAACTGAAAAAGATAAGTCAGAGAAGTAGAAAGAGAAACAGGCCACTCGTGTCTTATGAGCAGAGGGACAAGAGAATGTCAAGAGGATTGAGCTTTCATCGTCGAAAGCCATGGCAAGATCAAGTAAGGTGAGCCTGTGATATTTGGTTTGGACAATTGAGAGGTCATTAGGGCTCTAAATGAGGCTACTTTCAATAACCTGGCTTTGACGAGAGTAAAAAGCAGAGACCGTGAATACAGATTACTCTTTAAAGATATTCAGTGTTAAAGTGAAAGAGAAGGACAAGTTAGTTTGTTTGAGCCTGACTGTAGGCTACAGGGAAAGAGGAGCCTTGGGTGGCTGGTTGGCTGGCCCAAAGTCCCTGAGCCAGTAAGGTTTGTTGGGGCCTGACTGTAGGCAACAGTGAAAGAGGAGCCTTGGGTGGCTGGTTGGCTGGCCCAAAGTCCCTGAGCCAGTAAGACGGGTGGGATGGAAAGTTCTCCAGAGTCAGCTGGTTTATAGGCATGTGCTCTTCAAAGTGTGGTTGACAGATCTGTAGCATCACTGACACCTGGTAACTTGTTGGAAGTGGAGAACCTCAGGCCCCACAGCAGGTCTAGTGAATCAGAACCTGCATTTTAACAAGATCCCCAGGTGATCATAGCTTTTAATCCTCACAACAGCCAGGTAAGATGGGCATTAACTGTTCACATCTTTACCTATGATGAGAAAGCAGTTGCCTGAGATAGCCGAGCTGATTAGTGGCTAAGCCAAGATTCAATCCCAGAACTTCCCGAGTCCAATGTTCTTTTCAAAAGGTAGAGAAGGAAGTTCAGAGAATTTCTACTTTCTCCCAATTCAGGAGAATTTTCAGATACTAGAATACTTCCAACGATCAAGCAATCACAGGTGTGTACCTCTAGTGCCGTCAGCTGTGAGTTTACCGTGAAAGTGCTGGACGAATCCCTTTCAGAGCCCTTGACGGCCTCTTAAGAAACAACATTACCAGCGTTGGAACTTCACTTCCCAGCAAGCCCCGCGGCTTGCTACCGCGCGAGGCATGACGGGCACCTCGCCTATCTCTCCTCTCCGGTGGAGCTGCCGGGCAGAGGCGAGTTACGATGCAGCCGGACGTACGGGCGCGCAGCATTCTGGGAAGTGTAGTCTGGCCCGGACTCGGACACCCCTTCGGATGAATGGGGCCCCGGCTGACGGCTAACTACAGCTCCTCACCGGCAGCGTTGGTGGCGGCCGCCGGGAAAAGGGAGACAGCGACGGCCCCGGAAGAGCAGCACTCCGGGACGGTGGTGATGTTCAGTGCCGCGGCGAGGCGGCAGCCGAGTTTCCTGGGGTAGCAGTCTAGGCGGGCGCTTCCTCCGCGCGCTCGCTCCCCTTACCCTGCCCCGGCCATGCGCCCGGCCTTCGCGGTGGGCCTGGTTTTCGCAGGCTGCTGCAGTAACGTGATCTTCCTAGAGCTCCTGGCCCGGTGAGTGACCCCCGCCGGTCGCACTAAATAAGCCGGGGGAGGGCGCCCCCACGCGCAGTCCCCCCACTAGCCGGGCGGGGCCCGGGGTGGGACCGCCTGCGCCCAGTGTCTGCACTGGGCTGCTTGGGACCCCGCTGAGTCGGCTGCTCAGTCATCCTGCGCACCGTCCGCTCTCCCGCCCAATAGTTTCTCAGCATCCCTCGAGGGGAACACTGGGGGTGTTTGCTGTCGTCACACTCTGGGGGATTGAAGCCTGGAGAGTTTTTTTTCCCCAAGGTCGTCAGGGAGCTCGTGGCAGAACCCAAGGTTCCTCCAGCTCTTTTCTCGATCCTGCTAATGCCATATATATGAAGTGAGCAAAGCTTGGACTTAAAAAGCAGTCTGATTTGGTACACGCTGCAAAGAAAGTTTCAGCTGTTTTAAAGTGGGCTGCAAAGAAGTTCTTTTATTGACCTTAGAGATGGTTGTGAGTACTTTGCCCAACATGCCTCTCGCGGATGTAGTAGAACGAATTCTTATGCTGAAGGTCGGTCCAAATGACCGGGGATAGCCTTTCCAGCATTAAGATATTAAATCAGGAAGCTTGCATTTTGAGGTGTAGCTTTATAAATCAAGAATGGTTATGACACTTTCCCAAAGGGACACCAGGGTAGTTTTATTGAGGTGGCACGCAAATAACGTTGAGTAATAATGTGCAAAGTTCATTGAGTAGAAGCTGTTAAAGACAACAGGTGGACTCCAAAAAGCTCAGGACTGAAAATCTCGGGGGCTCCCGTCTTTGGCTCTGTCATCCCCTGGCTGTGTGACGTTTTCAAGTTATTTAGCCTCTCTGGGCTTCCTTTTTCCACCTATAAAATAATATCTATGGTGCTGTTTAGCACCATGTTTTTAAATCTGCACATTATCTCCATTGACCATCAGAACAATCTTGTGTACAAGATAGGTCAAGAATTATATTCTCTGTTTTACTGAAAGTGAAACATGTCCCAGGAAGTTAGGTCATCTCTTACTATTTGTAAGTGGCAGAACCAGAAGTGGAATCCAGGAATCTAAACTAGTCCAATACCTTTTTCAGCTTTCCTGTTATTTTTGAGCTTGAGCAGCCCTGAGGCTTTGGTCACCCAATTCCTCCTGTGGTGCCTGCTAGAAATGTATTTTATTTTCATGATAACATTGATTAAGTCATTCTGAAGCAACCAGTTTGCTTAAGGTAAACTCTGTGGGATTAAGTTTTGCGATTACAGAGCTTGAAATTTTAATGTGCAAAAAGTGTTGATTAAAATCTTTCATTTGGGGCTTCCCTGGTGGCGCAGTGGTTGAGAGTCCGCCTGCCGATGCAGGGGATACGGGTTCGTGCCCCGGTCTGGGAGGATCCCACATGCCGTGGAGCGGCTGGGCCCGTGAGCCATGGCCGTTGAGCCTGCTCGTCCGGAGCCTGTGCTCCACAATGGGAGAGGCCGCAGCAGTGAGAGGCCCACATACGGCAAAAAAAAAAAAAAAAAAAAAAAAAAAAAAAATCTTTCATTTGTCATTCTCTGGAGTAGGCGGTGAGGGAAGTGAAAATGAAAAAAAAAAATGTATCGTGTCATTTACAGTACATTCACAGCTGTACCAGCTGTCAGCTGGTACACTTCAAAGAAAGGTCACTTTGGAAATTGGTTTAAAAATATAAAAATGTGATAAAATCAGGCCAGCCATGGAAATGAAGGTCACAGAATAATAGTGTAATGTTTGTGTTGAATATGCCATTGAATTAAACCTTGCCAAAGGCTGTATGACACCAGAATACGTTATGTTAGTAACTGAGGGCCTTTTTAAATTTATTTTTTAACCAGTTGTGAGCCCTTAGCTAAATTACTTGGTCTCCCTGAGTCTGTTCTCTTAGCTGTGAAAGGGCAGTGATGGCTCTGCCAGCCTCACAGGGTTTTGAAGGATTAAATGAGATGCAGGTGCAAAGCTTGAAGCTCATAATAGGTTCCCCTTCTAACAACTTTTGTTTCAATATACATACACCCAGTTTTATGATCTGTTCCTGAGAAGTTGTGGGTAAATCTAACTTTACAGGATGTTTTTCTGCATTACTGGATCTTCTATTTAGAATACTTTGAATAATTTGTTTAAAAAACCCCCCCAAACCATCATTCCTTATATTTCTTGTACATCTGAATGTTTGCATACAGCAATGGGTTTTCATAATGTGGTAAGGGGTACATTTGTTAGTTTAATGAGTGGTACCCCAAACTGAATAGCAGCTTTGTCCTGATTTGCTTGGGCAACTCCAACTTATCATATTTCAGATCAAGAAAATAAGAGCTGGTTGGACCAGATGGTCTTTTAAGGTTCTTTGTAGATTTGGCTTTCTCAAAATTTGTGACTTTATCTTGGGACATCACAGTGGAACGCTAATAAATTTTTATAGAGCAGGAACTGTGCTTCTTATATAGCTTCCTTGGAATGCTAAGTATGAATTGAAATGCTAAACTGACTTGTAGGGATAAGTGAGCATTTGTAACCATTTTCCCCCAAGTTGGAGAACAAATTTAGGTTTTTCTTTTCTGATTTCATACTTATAATTGGGACCTATAATAAAATATAAAGCGCCCATGCAGTGTACAGGGCAGATGTGAAGTAATGAATGAGTGCCTTGATCTCCCTTCTGAGAGAGTTTACATTCTACCTTGGAAACAAGATACACATCAGCTCACTAACTAGGTGAGGTGTCTTATGTCAGGAAAACAATCTGAAACATTTTCTTTTTCGCATTTTATCTTTTCATCAAGTGCCTAATGTTGAATCAAATAAGGAAATTTTCTAAATCTAGAATAAAAAATACAGGAGCCATAAACTATCTGCCTAATTCTTTCTCTTCAGAGTTGCTTCTTTTTTAAAAAAGTAAAAATTTGGATTCTTGCCAAAGAGAATTCAAAGAGAAACTGTTTGCAGTTAGTGATTATAATACCTGAGGAATAAAGTTCAAGAAAACACAGCTACTGAGCCTGCGCATCTGGAGCCTGTGCTCCGCAACAAGAGAGGCTGCGATAGTGAGAGGCCCGTGCACCGCCATGAAGAGTGGCCCCTGCTCGCCACACTAGAGAAAGCCCTCGCACAGAAACAAAGACCCAACACAGCCAAAAATAAATAAATAAATTTATTTAAAAAAAGAATTATTGGGCTTCCCTGGTGGCGCAGTGGTTGAGAGTCTGCCTGGTGACGCAGGGGACACGGGTTCGTGCCCAGGTCCGGGAAGATCCCACATGCCGTGGAGCGGCTGGGCCCATGAGCCATGGCCGCTGAGCCTGCGCGTCCAGAGCCTGTGTTCCGCAACCAGAGAGGCCACAACACTGAGAGGCCGGCGTACCGCAAAAAACAAACAAACAAAATTTCCCTTAATTCTCAGATCATTTCTTGCTTTCATTTTGCTGAGCAATCTCTAGAGATTTTGTTTTGTTTGGTTTTTCAGGGAGTATTTCTAACATTTTCACTATATGTTGCTCAAAATAATTTTGTATAAAATGATTTATTCCTGGGCTTCCTTGGTGGCGCAGTGGTTGAGAGTCCGCCTGCTGGTGTAGGGGACACGGGTTCGTGCCCCAGTCCAGGAGGATCCCACAGGCCACGGAGCGACTGGGCCTGTGAGCCATGGCTGCTGGTCCTGCGCGTCCAGAGCCTGTGCTCCGCAGCTGGAGAGGCCACAGCGGTGAGAGGCCCGTGTACCGCAAAAGAAAAAAAAAAAAGAAAAAAAGAATTATTATTAAAAAAAAAAAAGAAAACAAGCAATTCAGGGGAAAAGCATCCAGGTTTGTACTCTGAATTTAAAGTGACTTATTCAAGTTAAGATAAATAGTTCCACTGGTAGCTATACAGCATTCTGTTCTTAAAAAGCTCTGTAAGTTGATTTTTTTAAAAAATGAATTATGTGAGTACATTAGGGAGATATAAAAATCCTATGGAAATAGAGACAAAGTAGATTAGTATTGTCAAGGGGAGGGGGAAATGGGGGTGATTCCTAATGGGTATGGGATTTCTTTTGGAAGTGTCCTAAAATTAAACGATGGTAATGACTGCACAACTTTTAATATAATACTAAAAACCACTGAATTGTAAAAAAAATAATAATAAAAATGATAATAATACGGAGGTCTGCAAACACCATTTATTTGCCAGGTGGCCCTGGGAGACTTACCTAATTCTGTGCCATTTGGCCCTCAGTGTCTTAGCAATGAAATGGGCATAATAATAGCTACCTCCATAAATAAGGATAAAATTAAAAATTATTATGATGCCTTTTATTTTTTATTTTAATTTTTTTAATGTTTTCAATAGCTTTAACTTTTTTATCCCTTTGTTGAAGTATATTCATAAACAAAAATTGGACACATTTAATGCATACAAATTGATGAGTATGCATACACTTATGAAACCATCATCATAATCAAGGTAATAAACATATCCATCACCTCCAAAATTTCCTTGTGCTTTTTTTTTTTTATGGTAAGAACACTGAACATGAAATGTACCCTCTTAACAAATTCTTAAGTGTGCACTACTGAATTGTTAACCACAAGCACTACGATTTTCAGAGATCTTTTAGAACTTATTCACCTTGTATAACTGAAAACTTATACCCATTGAACAAGTCCCCATTTTCCCTTCCCCCCTGACCCTGGCAATTCCCATTCTGTTGTCTGCTTCTGTAAGTTTGACTATTTTAGGTGCTTCATGTAAGAGGAATCATGCAGTCCTTCTGTCCTTTTGTGACTGACTGACTTCATTTAGCATGCTTTCCATGTTGTTGCAAATGGTGTCATTTCCCTCTTTTTTAAGGCTGAATAATATTGTATGTTTATACTGCATTTTCTGTATACATTCTTCTGTCCATGGACATTTCAGTTGTTTCTCTATCTTCACTAGGTATTGCAAATAGTGCTGCAATGAATATGGGGACGTAGCGATCACTTCAAGATCCTGATTTCAATTATTTATTTTAAACATTTTTTAAA